CACGGAGAGCTGGTACAATGTGCCATTCGTGGACTGATATCTCTCAACATTTTATTTTTTTTAATTTTTTTTGCTATACGGTGTAGATCTACTCGTGCTATGGATGTGTCGAACACATTGTCAATCTCCAACGTGTTTGAGTGAATCTATAGCTATACAGTGGCGTCCAAAAACTTGAAAATGTATTAATTCAATCATCCCGCTCATGCAGTATACCAATTTAAAGCTATATAAATCCTGCATCATCTACCACATTAATAATGCGTTTATGTTAAGAGACGCCCTAGATATGGTCACTCAAAGTTGACATTAATCCTTAAAAAATCAAGTTTGGCAAAATTGTGCGAAATCATTGAAACGATAACGTGTTTTGCGCGTATTAAAGTGCATCAACATTGGTAGAATGGACATGTATTGAATATCAAATGAAAATAGAATACACTAGCTGGGCCCCCTTTCGATGAAAGGATTGATTGGTGCATTAACGTCAGCCGAAAGTCATTGGCTTATGATATTTACATTCTACTGGAATGGAGCAATACATTTTGAGAGATGAAAAAATTAGAAGGTTTATATCTAGATATCTAGCTTACGATTATTATTGCTTATATTGCTGCTCATTTATATTATGCATGTGATTGTAAGCCTACTTGTGTGTGCATGTGTGTGCACGTGTGTACGTGTGTGTGTTTGTGTGTGTGTGTGTGTGTGTGTGTGTGTGTGTGTGTGTGTGTGTGTGTGTGTGTGTGTGCGTGCGTGTGTACTCGTGGTGGAACACCAAACCAATGTGCCAGGATCTGGACAATAAAGATGTATCTTATCTTATCTTATCTTATCTTATATATACCAGAGACTCTTATAATAAATATTATTAAATACTCTCTGTATACTCTCAAAACAGTGCGCACGGTTAATGAACGGAAACCTTCTTTTCTAAAATTACAGAGACAGAAGCGTCGGCCTACAAAAGCGATCGGCGAAATAAAAAAAATTAGCTTTTTACAGCAAAACTGTCTCAAAACTGAACAAACGAAGGGCGTCATGATCTGGAGAATATTTTAAAGAATCTTTTGGCGAAAACCGCATGCCGATCGATGCAGCCATTAAAAAGCCTTATGAAAAGCAAAATTCGGCCACCACAAAGAGATAATAGATGTATCACTATCTCTGCAATGAACATTACAGTTGGTCTATCGTTTAAGGACGAAGTGCTTCCCCATTCCAAAAATATCCTGTAATGAGCATATTGCAGTAAATGTATGTAGTTCAAACTACAATAAAAATAACACCAAAAGAATAACATTGTTTCTTTTCAAATACTTCTAGACAGAAATAACAATAACACATGACTTGTGGGAATTTCCCCAAAATACTAAATTTTAATTCCCTCACCTCGACGGTGGTACGATCTTGAATACTTTCCCTGTGGCTTTTGTAGCGACCAAATCCTTTGTCATCAGTAGATAGAGCTCACCTGGTCCGAACATCATGTGAAATATTATCATTGTATTTTGTTGGCTATCTCCATAGTGTGCAGTTGGAAATCATTAAAAGCTTGAAATGAGACCATTTCGAATCTAATCGCTATAACAAAACCTTTTTAAGTTTGTTAAGTGAAGAGAAGCGCAGTGACAATACTTTCCTGTCATTTAGGCTAGTTATTAGAAAAAGCAAGATTGACATGCAGTCAAACAGTACAAAAACAACGGAGGGAAAGCAATTAGCTAGCACCTGCCAGTGCCCCCCCCCCCCAAAGAAGCAAACTAACAACAAAACAAACAGCAAATAAACAAACAAAAAACCATCCCCGACAACGAGAGCTGTAACATCGAAATCTACAATAATGAAGGGATACAGAAGCAACACACACACACACAAACACACACATACACACACACACACACACACACAAACATACACACAGACACACAAACACACAAACACACACACACACACACACACACACACACACACACAGAGTGGTGTCCGCTTGAACTAAATGGGTTAGTCCAAAAACAGCAGTATTCAGAAAAAAAATAAAATCCCCGCTTTTTAAATTGGCTATTTGGGCAATCTGAACTAAAATCACGACAAAAAAGAAAAAAAAATAGAAGAAAATCCGGTGGTCCCGGAGATTTCGGTTCAAGCGGACTCCTCTTTAAATTAATAAAATAAATACATGATACTTTTTTAATATACAGCTTTAACAGTACTTACACACTCGTGTAGCATACACAAACTTAAAGCATAGCTAACCCTCTGACTCATCTGAAACATTAATATTTCGTTTACGATGAAAGTCACTCTAGGCGTTCACTCAGAATTAACCTTGGAAAATTCTGCGTATATTTTCAAGTTTCCCTTGGAGGCTACTGTATACCCCCCCCCCCCCACACACAC